AATTTGTACAAACATTACAACAAGGCTATTATTGAAGCAAGTGACTATGTACCAGGTTTAAAAGTATTCAAGAAGTGAAGTCTATGTAAATTAGTATAATCAGTGTGGAATCAGTATGGAGAGTCCTCAAAAGACTAGGAATTGAACCACCATATGACCCAGCTATCCCACTCGTTAGCATTTATCCAAAAGAACTAAAATCAGTATACAATATTAGTATGTACATACCAGTATTAATAGCAGAGAAATTCAAATAGCCAAGATATGGAACCAGCCTAGGAGTTCATGTCCATCAAGAGATTAATGGATAGAGTGTGTATACATGCACAGTGAGTTCTAGTCAACTATAAAGAAGAATGAAATTAAGTCATTTGTGGATAAATGGATGGAAGTGGAAAATACCATGCTAAGTGAAATAAGCCTGACCCAAACATCAAGGGCCAAATGTATTTCCTCATATGCAGAAGTTACAAAAAATAAAATACAAATAAGAAAATGTGATCTCATGAGAATAGAAAGATCGGTAGAGGAAAAGTAGAGGAACAAGGGGAGGGAACGGGGAATATCTAAGTGTCAAAGTCAATCAAATTATATGAATGTTTGAATATATCATAATTAATCCCAGTTTTGTGTGTAACTATAATACACCAATAAAAAATAGATAAATACATGTAAATTAAAAGAAAGAAGACCAGAAAAAGGAGAATGGGGAAGGAACAGGGGGAAAGACAGGGAGGGAAAGGAGATACTGCATTAAATTATGTTACATGCACATATGAATACATCCCAATGAACCCTACTAATATATAATAAAAACATGAAAAAGAAAGATTAAAAATATAAAAGGAAATGAAGTTCAGTGACCCAGAGATCCATCTACAGGCAAGTTCAACAACCTAGGATAGAGGACAGTACAATCAGGCATTTTTTATAAAGGAAAAAAGAGCGGAAGTTAGAAGAGCAAGGTAATAAGAGAAGGTCCAGGTCCTTCCATGACCAGGACTCCAAAGGGAGTAATGGGAAGGAACACAGTTTCCATTTCAAAGATGTGAAGGAGAAGCAGAAGAGAATGCTTAGGGAAGTCAGTTGTTTTGAGCACCTAAGGGATCTTGCATTCTCCAGGACTGATGGTCTTTCCCTCTTCCAAACACCTGTGATTGTGCTGCATTTCTGCTTAAAATCCACTGATCGGTGGAAATTTCAGATAAACAACAAATCTTTTTAGTGAAAGTATGTCCCAAATATCACCTGGGTATCCTGTGTTTTTATTTGTTATATCTGGAAACTCTACAAATGGGGAACCCTGATGTGTATGGCTATATATCACTGTAAATATATAAAAAAATGGCACCTCTAGAATTGTGCAGTATTCAACTTATACAACTAAATGTAGCCACACTGCTTGAAGAGCAATACAACCCCAGCTGCAAATGCCAGTACATGTTTTCAGTGACAGCAACTCTTTGCTAACATTTCTATAAAACGCCAAACTACCTAATCATGTAATGTGCTCAAAAGTTGTGGTATGCCTGTATGCAAGTAAAAATCTAAGAAAAGTCAGTTATTGATTAGTTTGAGATAGTGCATTGTTATTTTTTTATCATCTTCATCTGACACTGGATCATATTTATTCTCAAGAAAAAAAAAAAGATCTGTTTCAATAAAGAATTAGTATTTAGTATATCACCTACACCTAGAATTATAAATGAGGACTTCATGGATGTAATGACAGTGTAATCCCAAGGGAACAATTAGCTAGTGGTGACATTTCAGACACTAATTGTAAAGATATCTTGCCTAGTATTGAAGTCTAATAACTAGTGGATGGTAAGGTCAAACTTTCACCAAAAATGAATAATTGACTATTTGTCAAAAGACTAAAGGAGGTCAAATTTTCTCCAACAAATTCTGCACACTCTGAGGTTTGATTTTAAACTTTCAAAAAAAAAATACTTGATGTGGTTGGCTCCCTGAATACAGATTGATTTCTTAAGAATAGGTTCCTATTAAACTACCATACAAGAGATCAATGCATAGAGCTACCAGTGGATAACTGTCTAATTTATGAAGAATACTTTCATTAGAAACCAACATATTCTATATTTGAAGTCAGATATTTGTTTCTGTGACAGCATTTGTTGAATAGAAATACTGTACTATGCATAAGTGAATTACTCACCAACTCTGCTCTTGTATCTCACTGGCTGATAAGAGGAGAGCGCATAAGAAAATTTGAGCAAATTGGTGGATAGGGTGGAAAGAAAGGAGAAAGGAGCATCCAGGAAGACAAGAAGGTTAGATCATGACACATCTGATGAAATAAGTATAATTCCACATAATTAATCATAAAATACCAGAGGGGAAGTAGTGGGAGACAAAGATAGGGAAATGAACAAGAGCCCAATCAAGAAGAATCTTACAAGCTTTCTTAGGCTGTTGATCTTTCCTTAAGAGTAATGCAGATTTTAAGAAGTTTAATTATTCTGAAAGATTAGCTTGCCGATTGTGTGGAGAAGGGATTGGAACAAAGGGCAGCAAGATAACAGATAGGACTTTCTGCTGTTGCCTAGGTGAGAACTGACCCTGGAACTAGGAGTATGACAGTAAACCTGGAAGGAAGAAATGTAGGTGGAATGCTTAGGAGGTGTGATCTATGGGATTCAGCAATTAATTTTAAGTGTGAGGTAAAAAAAAGAATCAAAGAAACTACACTCTATTGTTAACCGGAGCACAGGAGAAGCAGAAAATTGAAGTGAAGGGAAAGAAAACGCATTTAGTGGTATACTTGCTGGGTTTCAGTTATTAGAGCAAACAAAAAATCCAACAAAGAAGTATTTTGATTTGAGCTGAGGTTTAGGGAATGAATCTGGAATAAAGACTTAGATTAGTGCCTCATTATGGATACCACCAGAAATAATAACATTACCCAGAAAGAATACATTGGAGTAATGACAGATAGACCTACATGTGAAGAACATTAACACTTACAAGCAAAAGGAAAAAGAACCTGAAATAAGAGATGGCAGGACAAATGGAAGAGAAACTGAGATATAATAAAAAGCAAATGAAAAAGAGCCCATCACCAAAAATCAAATACCTAGATAAAGGCCAAGGAAATCCCTACAGGATTTGGAAAGAAAAGACATGTTTAAAAAAGGAAAAACATGGTTAGAGATAGAAATAAGAGGATCTTCCAGGGACAATAAGTAGGAACATGCAAGTGGTGGATCATAAAGTGAGTAGAAAAAGAAGTGGAACTGGTGTGAGTACAGGCAACTCTTCCCTTACACTAGTTTATGTCAGGGAAGAGAAATATGTCACAGGATATTAATGACAAAGTGTCATTGATGTGTGAATAGGCTTTGCAGGTTTGACTCATCTGTCCATTAGTTATTAACATGGAGAGAGTTGACCACTTTTTGTACAGATAAGAAAAAGGATGAAGATGCTTCGTTATCTATAGAATGTTCTACGAGGTTCCCATGAGGTGAAGAGAATAGAATCTAGGACATAAATAAGAATCTGCATTAAATGATTTTCTAGTGCTGCCATAACAAAATACCACAAACTGGGTGGCTTGAAAACAAGACTCTCACTCTCCTTATACTCCTGGCAGCTAGAAGTCTGAAATCAAGGTGTCTGCAGGGTTGGTTCCTTCTGATGGCTGTGAGAGAAGAATCAGTTCCAGATCCGTCTTCCTGGCTTGCACATAGCCATCTTCTCCCTGTGTCTCTTCACATTTTCTTTCCTCTATGTGTGTCTGTGTCCAATAACCTTTTTTTATAAGGACACCAATCATGATCATGTTGGATTAGCAGCTCACCCTACTTCTGGATGAGCTCATCATAACTGACCTAGCTACATTGGCAATGACCCTATTTCCAAAACAGATCATATTATGAGGTCCTGGGGGCTAGCACTTCCATATGTGGATTTGGTGCAGAGATTCAACTCAACCTGTAACAGATGGAAAGCAAGACATTTGTTCCACTGATACTAGAAGAAAAGAGAAAGCATCACTGTGTGAGTCTGCAGATTTTATGGCAGGAAATTTAGAAATTTCCATCTGCATTTTGTATTCTCTGAAGTGGAGACAAAGTCATTGGCAGAGGAGACAGAGTTGGAAGTTAAAATATCCTAGGGGAGGTTTGAAAGAGCCGTTGCACAGAATGAGAGAGATGGCTGACCAGGCAGCCTGTGAGGCAGCTTTGACAGTTACTGCATCAGACTATAAGTAGAGGAAATAATCAATTATTCAGTGTGCCCTTTATGTAATAATGTAAAAATCTCCTGGGGGAGGCTACTTTGGTTATATAATGGCTTACAACAAAATGTGTGACAATTCAGTAAAGGAAAGCTCTTCTCAGATTCACCAATCAGCCATTCATTTGGAACTTGAGTTTAATGCCAGTTTGTGATTATCCCTATTTTTATAGATGAAATTATATATAACTGGAATTTCCATTAAAGTATTTGATGTAATATGTTTCCTCCCCTAAGCTGTTCTCTAAAGAGAGAGATCATCCACCTTATACATCTCTCTGGTTCTAAATACCCCAAACCTTCCTCCATGCCAGAGATTGCAGCAGGCACCCAGTAACAGATGGAAACTTCAGTAGTGGTTACTGGATGAGTGAGTATCTGTGTCCTGCAAGGAGTAATTTTTCTCAGAAATCCTGTCCAAAGATGTACCTTGTTTCAAAGAGGGAGGTGTAAGATTCAAGTATAATTTAAAATTCCAGATTGTAAACATTTATGGTGCACTCTTGAAGAAATGTAAACCTCATAAAAGATGGTTTGACTTAGGGTAAAATAACTTTGAATTAGTATTTTGAATGAGAATTGAATTAGTAAATTTATAAGTTCTCTGCTTTTGAAATATATAACAGGCATCTCTAAAAAGATCACATATAAGTGGCAATGTCTTCATACAACTGTGTTCAGCAGTGGTAAATACATGTAAGAAATGAAGAGATATCATATTTTATCTTGTTTTTCAGAGTGATTGTGTATGCAGTTTTTTCCTCTCTGAACCTGTGCACCATGCAGTTGAGGAACCTTCACTTTTGGACCTAGGCAAGTAGATATATCATTATTAATCTATGCAGTGGTTGAATCTCAATACAATTGTACAAAAATATCCAACTATAATATTTTCAATTTTCAAATTAAAATATCCTTTTAAGACAAAAGCTTTAATCATTTTTTTCTAATCATTTCTAAAGCATTTAACCTTCAAGTTGATTAAACTTTAATGTATTTGTACAGCTGTAGTAGCTATATGTCACACTACTAATACATTTCAATTAATCAAGCACTGGATTAAAATTATCAGAGATACAATTCCTGATTTCCCATGCCGGTAAGCCTTACAGTTTATTCCACCTCTTAGAACAGAACAACAACAACAACAACAACAAATATATATATATGGCAAAAATAGTGATCATGAGTTAATCTAGCAGGTTCACTCTTAGCGTTTAATAATATTCAAATTTCTTTGCAGAAATTTGGGGTGCCAATAACCCAGTAAAATCACTCACCCCATTCTCTTCCACATGTGTACTATACTAATTCTAATTAACATTTCTATAATTTCTCTTAGATTAACAAAGACTCTTTTTTGAAGGCTTTATCAATTTAAATGTTTGTAATATAATTCCATTACAAAGAGCAGCCACCCAATAATATACCAATTCTTAATCTCAGGATTTCCAAACCCATCCTTTGCTTTTCACTGACCTTTCAACTCTACCTTCTTGTTATCTACATCTACCTTCTTATTCTCTGTGTTTAAGATTAGGCCCATCTGCTCATCACCCCTGCTATGTCTGACGTCCTACTTAGTAGTAACATAGTAGACTAGATCAGGTTGTGTAGCATAATTGTTTATTAAGTTGTATAACTGTTTGCATCTGCCTTGCTTCTCCTCGTCAGCTGAAAGTAACTTTAAATCAAGGACTGACTTCTGCACTGTATGCTGCTCTATATTTTACAAATTCTAAATCAATGCAGGAGGACTGGACCTCTTTCCGTCCACACTTCGCTCATTATGTGACATCACTCTCCAAGATGCTTTGCTTGTATAGATAAACTATGAACAATATTTAGTAAATAAGGCAATTTCTTATATTTTATAGCACTTTCCCAAGGAATAATTATGCCCATAGTATAAAATATTTCTATTTTGTCATAATTCACAAATAACTATCTTTTAAAAATACTGAGTGGAGAGATTTTCTGTTTACAATATGAACTTAAAGTATCCAAATTTTGAAAACAAAAACAAGCATGAGGTGGTAGAATTCTAGAGATTTTAGACAAAAATAGAACTAGGTTAGTCTATTCCACCATTAAACTTCCTCGGGAAAATATTTTCTCTGTTTCAAGAAATTTAACTTCTGATCATTATCAAAATTTTAGTTTTGCTTATAGCATTATTTCTTTGAAAGATATTTGGAAATACATATGCAGACAAAAAAATTAGGATTAACTTTACAAGAACTAAAGTGGTTGGTTGAGAATTTTTTTCTACATTTTTAAATTTCTCACATCTTCAGTACTCAAGATTTGTTTCAGCACTGATGAATGACAAAATATTTGATTTTAGATATTTTTAGATTATAGGCTACTTATTGAACATTACCTATTATCTTAAATGATAGAACCACAGCTTCCAAGCAGAATATGCAAATTGCCACAACAAACAAGGATTAGCAGGAAGTTGTTCATTTGTTCTCTTCAAATTATTTCCTCTTTCATATCTCTGAATGCTTAATCTTTTATCATAGAATAAAAGTTGATTCTAAGCAAGAAGCACATTTATTTTAAGCACTATTCTTATTCTTGCTCATGAGCTGAAAATTTAAGTTTGTGTTGTTAAGTAATTAAAGGGAAAAATTATCCAAGTATATTAAGATACTGTTTTATATAAAACAACCTTAAGTAAAATTCCCAGAATTTACCATTTGATCATCTCTACCAGTTAATTAGGAGGTGGATTCTGCATACCTGTGCATGTAGGCACATGACCTTTAAAGATTATCATAGCAATTCTGAGTCACCTGAGTCTGGAAGACACTAATCATGCTCTGCCTTTGCTCATTAACTAAACTTGGTAGACCAACAGAATTTATTTTTTCCAGTGACAATCCAATCATCCCTGTCCTCTACTAAAATCTTCCTCTTGGCAAGACCAACTTCATGCATTTGAGACCAGCACAGTCACAAAGGGTAGGGGATAAAGAAAGTCCTACACTTGGTTTAAAACTTTGGAGCCAGTTGAAATTCTTAGTAAGTTCTGAAAAGGTCTCTACAGTTTATTTTGCTCTAGACCTCACAAATATATGGCTAATAAATATTTAATAAATAAGTTTTATTAAAAGGACAAGAGACAGAAAATTAAAATTCAAATGATGCTGTTCCTTCCTACACTCGCTACTTCATGTGAAAAAGTCCTGGCACAAGATAGTCAAGGCCTCCCAACCACAAGAGTTCTGTTAAAGTATCACCTGGGGACAAAAAGAAAAAGATCTCCCACAGATTATTACATTAGATATTATAGATGTTAGATTCCACCAAAGTACTAACCAGAAAGTAGCTAAATTTTATCTTAAGCAATATTTTTTAACTCCCTAATGACATGACCCTGTATATTATTCAGAAATGGACAAGCCTCTGTGTCATTTAGTTTCGCATTACAGTAATAAAATACCTGATATAATCAACTTAAAAAGAGGACAGGAGTATTTTGGGTCACAATTTTTGAGGCTTTAATCCATGATCGATTGATTATGTTTCCTTTGGTCGTGTGGTGAGAAACTCGTATCATGGTGGGATCATGTACATAAACAAAACTGCTCACATCATGGAGACTGAGAAGCAGAGAAGGAAGAAAAAGGGGTGGGGCTGAGGTTCCAGTAGCCCCTCAGGGCTCACTCCCAATGACTTAACTTCCTCCAGTAAGTCTCCTCTCCTACAGGTTCTACCACCTCCCAACAGCACCATGGGTTGAGGACCAAGCCTTCACCACATGGGCTTTTGATGAATACATACCCAAAACATAACAGCTTCCAGGCCAAATAATACTTCACACACATGGAAATAAAATAATCTATTGGCCACCACTGAACAGCTCTGACACACAAAAGACAGATTTAATCAAAGTACAGACATAATAACATAGGCAATGGAGTAGAACATGTCGATGACATTTGTCAGGGTTAAGAGGAGTTAATGAGTTAATGAGCATGTTTAGAGAACATTGATGGTTAAAATGATTGCAAACACAAGCTTTCAATCATTACCTCACATTACTACTTCCACTTTGAGGGGTTAATTTAAAAAGGAACTTAGAGATATTCAGTACATGGTCTCACTGGCTAATCGGCTAGTTACTTGCTCTGGACAAAGCCAGATTGATTACAAAATTTGATTTTTCACTTTAAATTTAATGATATGTGGTTTGCTAGGGGGAATAAGCTCTGGTGCCTATGATACAGCAGGGTGAACATAATTAACAATAATATATCTCAAAATATTGAGAAGAGAGAATTTTGAATGTACTCACCATAAAGAAATGATAAAAGTCTAAGGTGCTGGGTATACTAATGGATAACTGAATTGATCACTATCCACATAATGTATACATGAATCAAAACACCACACTGTACTTCATAAATATGCACAAATATTATGTGTCAACAAAAAATAACAAAAATGTTAGTGATATGGGAGGACAAGAAGGGAAAGAAATACTTGTAGTAAGTTGTTTTAGAAATATTAAACTAGAAGTTTTAAAACCATATCCATTTTTGCTATATTATAGCATATATCCTTGTGTTTTTAATTAGGAAAATATTTTAAACTTACTTTTGACTTATCGAGGAAAGATGGAAAGAAGACAAATTAAAGGGCTTTCTTTAATTACTTCATCACTAACAGCTGGCTGTTGAAGGATATCACCAAAACCCAAGAAATCATGCAATAAATTTATGCATATGTAATGTTAGTGTTAGGGAAATGCTAAGAAAATTCACAACACTAAATAACTGGGTGGTAAATGCAAATAGAGCAAGAAAGATGATGCTCACTGACTTGATCTTTGATTCTATTAAGTAACAAAAAGTTTGAAAATTATAATATAGCTACAGGTATTTTAGGTAAATATAATGAAAAATCAGTGATTACAATTTTTTTTAATTTTTTAATTGTAGTCAGACACAATACCTTTATTTTTTATTTATTTTTATATGGTGCTGAGGATCAAACCCAGGGCCTCCTACGTGCTAGGGGAGCGCTCTGCCACTGAGCCACAACCCAGTCCTAGTGGTTACAATCTTAATAAAGAAGGTAGTGTTTAGACCAAAAAACATTCATGTAAACAAAGAACAGAACTTAAATTATAGTGAGTATAATTCTCAAATATATGAGCGGTTCTGACTGCATATCAAATAATATGGCAGCAACATACATAAAGCAGAAATTATGAAACACACAAGGAGAAACACAAAATCACATTAGCAGTAGGATAGTCTTCCAATTTATGAAAGACCAAATTAAAAAAAAATAAAGTAGATCCACAGAAAATTTGAATATTAGAGTTAATAAAGCAAAATTGATGAATTTATGTCAAATTCTTTATCTTGAAAATAGAGAATACATATCCTCTTCAAGTGCCTGTGAGCCTTCATGAAAATAAAGTCTATATTAGGCCACAAAAGAATTTCAGAAAATTTCTCAAAGTAAAAATATTACATATAATATCATCAAAACATGATACAACAAAGTGAAAATTTTATACATTTCAGAATCTTAGAAAACACTTAAGTTTGAGAGTTAAAAAAATGTCTCTTGAACAACTTTTGGGACAAAAGAATTAACAAACCAAATTTGCAAAATTTCTAAGAAATAACCAACAATGAAATACTGCATTTCAGACACTATGAGAGAAACATAAAGCAATGCTCAGAGGAAAATTAGAATAATTGGAAGAGCTACAAAACAAAAGAAAAAAGGGGGCAGGAGGGCTAAATGAAGCGGATAATAATGCCACAGACCACAGAAAACAGCAGAAG